TGGAAATTTTCCTTTAGGAATATAAAATGTGGTAGAGGAGTTCAAGAGCCCTTGTTTGGCCCCTTTGCTGGGAGACCAGGGCATATGCTGAAAATTTGCTTCCTCCTCCAAGGATAAGTCCCAGTTTTATGTTTTAGTAGAGCACTTGCCTGTTTTATTCCTAAGTGGGTGATAGAGCTGCTAATCTTACAACCAATCAATTCATAGTACCAATTAAAGAATGTTTTCAGAATGAACCCACTGTAATTTTGGCAGCGTGTTAAAGATACAAGGTGTTGATGAAGATTACAGATGAACAGAGGTTGGAGTTTCTAGGCCAAATGAACTGTTGCGATACAACACAAAAATACTCTGAGAACAAAAATGGTCTCCAATTGCCAAATGTTTATAGTCCTAACTCACTGTATCTTGGTGTAGTGATGGCAGTTTGCCTAGGGTCATTCCCAGTAGAGAGGATCAACAAGGCCATGCATCGGCACAAAGGACTGAGGCAGTTACACGTCATGTCTTCTGGTGGCAGCCTGAGCCTGTGTCTCCTCTGTAGCCCTTTCTTCCCTTTCCCTGTTGTCTCTGTCATGGTGTTGGGGGAGAGGCAGGGCTGATCTTTATTTAGGGGATGTTCCTGGTTGATGGAGCCACAAAACAAGTTGGCACTGCAAGTTCTGGAAGCCTTGTGCTGTGTTGAGCTTTCCCTTCTGTGCTAACCCACCATGCGCAGCTCTTCTCCTCTGGTGCCTTCCTCAAGGAAGGCAGAGGAACGTTGAAGACTTCTTCAGCCCCTTCTGCTCCTGACTGTTTAACTGGCTGTGGATGTGAGGTGAAGCTAGTGTGCAGATTGCCATGAAAACAGAAGTACCTGATAGAAATCCTTGTGCGTGTTTCTAGTCTGGCTGATCTCCTGGCTATGTGAGCATGCTAAGCTTGTGCTAATCAGCTTTTTCTCTTGGTGCAGTGCTGTATCGGAACTGCTTAGCTGCTGAACTTCTGGACAAGCAGGCTGATCTCTGGCCAGGCCAATGCACAGGCAAAGCAAACACACACATGCATTTCCAGCTGTCTTTGTGGCCTCATTGTCATACTGGGCTACTTGGAAGATTGCATCGCGTTAACAGAGACCTGTTTTGTTTGGTGTTTAGATGGATCCTGAGTATCGGGTGAAAAAATTCTTGGCTCTTCTGAGAGAAGAAGGAACGTAAGTACTTTTATTTTAAATCATTGTTTAAAATTCTCTTCTCCGCTCAGAAACAAGCATCTCTTTGAGGGGAAGCTGCAGTGTAGTATATCTGATCTCATTGTTAGCGCCTCCTGTATTTACAGAACTGTGTATCAGATCAGTTCTCCTTACAGCTATTTGCCAGTTGTTTTGGGAGGGGGGGCAGGTCCTGAAGACTCTTTGAGAACCTGCATGCCTGAATTCTCTGTATTTCTTAATTTACCTGTGACTTTAAAATTTAAATGAGATATTGGACCACAGTTTGGCTTTCTTGCACTAAAGTAAATCAGAAGAGATTCTACTAGAGTTAAAATCCAGCTGTTTATATAAAATCTGGAACTTTGATTTCTTGTATTTCTCCTGTCTGAGAAAAGGATGTCCTACTCTTTCCCCTGTAGGTATCACAGGGAATAGTTGAGCACAGTCTTGACAGTGGCATCTCCTAGAAAATGACTTTCTAATACATGTAGGGCAGTACCTGTGCTGGGGAAACTCACAGCAGTATCTATCCTGGCTACATGTGAGTGGGTTCCAGTGTGTGCTTGATGCTTTTATACATGTGCATGCTTTCTTGATGGATTTGGCTTCTTTTGCAAGAGTTCCTTCCCTAGACTGAAGGTGGACCAAGTGCAAGATCAACAGCTGGAAAAGTGACCAACTTGGAGAATATACACTGGGATCTTTACTCTTCTGTGTTCAACACACTGGACAAAGTGAAATGCTCCCCTGTTTCCAAGAACCCAATGTGGAATCTGCATGTTTAGTGCAATACAATATCTTTATTCTTTGTCTTTAATATACTGATGTCATGTGGAAGTGTCTTCTAGAGCACTGTGCTTCTGTCTCTGTGCAGGCGAGGCTGCGTTCTCATTTGATTTTAGCATGGGGGAAATGTCCTGTAAGTTTTGAAGCTAATGCTCACATGTGTCCAGCATCCAGTTGCTATGATAGGAAAGAAATCATGACTTCTAATAAAACCTGACAGTCTGTGGTGAAGGCATATTAAAGTACTACTCTGTCTTACCCTGATCTGACGAACGCTTTCTTGTTATGTCATCCTGTGCCTCACTGAGCGTTGAGCCAGGCTGATAACCTAAAGACGGTGCCCATAATAATTCAGTTCCAGAATTGCCTAGATGCTAATACCTGCTTTCTTTCATATCCAGGTATTTTGTGGCCTGATGAGAGAGACTGTTTAGTGGCATTAGGGACACAGAAGAAGACGGGGAAGTACATTGATCAGGGTAGAGAAAACTTCCAAATCCAGTATTTAAGGCATCAAAGCTTGTTGTTAATTCAACAACAGTTTGAGATGCTGATTCCAGCCTGAAAGCTCTTAATGAGTGCAATGTAGATGGCAGCTTTGGTATTAGCCTCATTATATCCCATTTTTCTTGCCATGTTACCAAAGGTTGTAATTCTTCCTTAGAGAGAGGAAGACAAGCTCTGCAGGTGCACAAGATATGTATTGCCATGTTTTTGCACTGAAATAAAGGAATGTATTGAACTTTGCTATGTGGTCCTTCCCCAACAATCATCTCGTGTCAGTGAGATGCTGTCGACGATGACTGCATGAGGCTACTCCCCTCTGGTTCTTTGGCTCCACACGTTTAGTAAGGTTCATGGAACATACCTCAATTTGGTGGGGCATGAAATCAAAGCCATTTATGAGATCTTAGTCAGTGTAGCTTCCTAAACTTGACCAGACACGCTGCTAAGGGCTAGCAGCCTGTACCCAAAGCGATGTTTGCAGGGAAAGAGGGTGCTTCACATTCTTTCAGGCCCAAAGGTGAAGGTACTGTAGTCCTTAGTGCATATTTACAGCAGTCGGAGTATTTTAGTCACTCCGCTCTGTTTTCTTTTCCTTTGGCAGTGCTGTTGTATTGTGATGACATTGCAAGTCCCAGTGCTTATTATTCCCTCTCGTTTTGTGTATGATCCTGTGAATTTATTTGTTCCTTTCTTTCTTCTGCTAGTCCTAGTGACAGCAGCACACATTAACTTATATTTCAGAGTAAATAATGTAAACCTTGTTGTGTCTTTGTCCAGAGCTATATTGATGAATAAATATCTGGTTTAATTGCACATTCAGTGGATTCAATAAAAAGCACAACTACTTGTGATGATCTGGGAGACATCTGTGTCTTTGGTGCTAGTTGAACAGAGGTGTGTATTTAAAGTACTGATGTGTGGCATGAAGCTTGCAAAGCTATTCCCAGGCTGCTGATAGCCAGAGGGATGCTCAGTTTATACCTAAGTGTGGATATTCCCAGCCTGGGTAGCTTGACCACAGAGAGCCTTAAAGAAGTTGGCCCAGAAGACCTCTGGTCCAGCCCATTCTAGATTTTTCTGTACCTTGCAGTGCTGCGGAAGCCCCAAAGATGTACGTGTGTGTGTGTGTTAGGTGTATCACACTTGAAGAAGGCTCTGTTGGAAAACTGGGGCAAACTGTTGGGTGTGACATCCCATCCATTCCAACCTATTCCGAGATCCCCATCCAAGATGTTTCCTGCAGGTGGCAGAAGAGAATGACTCCTGGCATCACCGTCCCACCACGTTTTCTGTCTGACACGCTGCCTGGGCAAGAGTGGCTTTATAGTGAGAACTATATTGCTTCAAACAGTAAGAGCCAAATTCTTCAGCCCCTTCCTTACCCTGTGCTGCATTTTCCTGAACCTAAAATCCAATTCTTAACCAAACACAAAGACATTTCAAAGTGTTGGGGTGGGTTTTGGACGGACGGAGTGTAGGGGAGATTGGATGATGGGCAGGTGTGCAGGTAGCTTCCACTCATAAAGCTGGCGAGCTCAAAACCCGCCCCCAGGCCGGACTCTTTGGCTGTCTGGTTTGTTAGCAGCACATCCTTGGTGGTGGCGTGGCTTTGAAGGCACCGCTGCTGCCATCGGGCGGGAGGTGGCACTGGCAGGAGCGTGCTGTCTGCAGTCGTGCGCGCAACCGGAGCTCGGCATCGTTGTGCACGAGGGGCGCGATGTTTCAGGCAGCACTCTGAAAGGAGGCAGATGTAATTGTTTTGCATATAAATCGGGGATCACTGTAGGAATATGGAACAATTTTTTTTTTTTTTTTTTGCCCTTCAGATAGGTATATTTGAGGCTAGTGCTGCTGAAAATTGTGTGTGCTTAAAAGCTTCACTAATGTATGGGAGATGTTGCAGAAACACTTATAAAATTATTCATGGACAGGATGTTTTCATATGAGAAAATTTGTATCTCTGTCTAAACCATCAAAAGGAGATTCAGTATCAGCCTGCAAGTACAGTGGTGGTGGGACAGTATAAAATCTAAAGCGTGTTTTAATCAGGTAATCTTGTGTTGTATGCACGCTGTGAGATGGCACTCTATAAATAAAACCTTCCAACTCTATAAATAAAAACCTCCTATATTTGCTACATTTTACCATCATCGTCTTGCATTCATATGACTGTCACTGTGCATAAGTAGCTGGATGACAAACCACCACTCCTGTAGATGTCATTCAGCAGGACTTAAAGAACCGTCAGAGGCAAACCACACAAGCTGGCAAGTGCATATTTTTGTATTTTTACCTTCTCTTTAATGACGTACCACAAAAAAATGAAAGTTGAAATATATTTTTCTCCAAATATATATATTTATATAATATATAATCTTAGTTAACTCAAGTATATACATTGTATAATAAATAATGCTTATAAAAAGAGAAATTTTCTGAATATAAAATAAAAAAAAATCGACCTCTACAACTTTATACAAAACTTTGGATAAAGCAGATTGATGGAAAAAGATCTTCCATTCAGTGCTAGAATACCTGGCTACAGTAAAATAATTACAAGGCAATAAATGTTCTATTTAATATTAAATACCTTTTCTTGATTAAAAAAACAAACAAACAAACAAAAAAGGGATTTTGTTTAAAGTCAGGTACTTGGAGTCTTTCCAGACACAGAATTTAATATATATTTTTAAATAGAATGCATATCAGAAGACGGCTTATTTCTGAATTGGGGAGGTTTCGTAGAGCTCTCCTGCAATCTTTAATATTAGAAATCTAACGCTTCTCAGTCCGTGTGAATCCAGGAGCTCTTCATCGTTCTCTACGGAGGAGGGACTGAGAATTTTGCTCTGATTCTCTCCAGCCACAGGTTTGAGTGTCAGGGCCATGTTCTGCGCTCCATACGAGGGGTCTTTCACCCATTTTATTGCTCTTTGCAGTACTGTGTACTGCTCTTTCCCATGGACCAAGAAGTGAGTGGAGTAGAAGACACTGCGTGGGTGGTTTCGACGTATTGCTGTGTTAAATCACTGATTCATGAGAAGTGGGATTGGAACGGGGTTATTGGTCCGCGTCATTTGTGGAGGAGCCCACCAGAAGAGACATAACGTTTGTTTTCTTAATTTCAAGGGTCAATATGCCGTGAAAACACAAGCCCAAACTGAGGGGGGCATGTGGTCAAGGATGGGGATGTGGCCTGGGGGGCAGGTGGAGGGACAAATGCTGATTCTTCTGCTCTGAGGTGGGTCATGGGATGCGAGTGGCCACACCTGGGGCCCAAACCCCTGCCAGTGGCACGGAGCCGCTGCGCTTGATGTGAACCCCTCATGAACAAATTGCTGATCACTCAAGCAATCCCGTGGGAAGGAGAGGGTCGGCCTGGGATTGTGCTGTCAGTTAAAGGTCTCCCGTCCCCATCCGCCTTTAACTCTCTTTTGCTGGGTGAAGTGGTTTGAACAAGTCTGTCTGATGGCAGAAGGCTGATGAGAAGGCTTGGACAGAAATTTCTTCTTGCCGTGGCTTCAGTCTCTCTGTCCGTTCCTGACGCTCAGAGCTGGTGTAGCAGCTCGCCTGGCGGGTACCCTGTCCCCAGAGAGATGCTCTGAGCTCGCTCTGGGATAGAAAGTCATATTAAGGACCATTTAGTAAATAGGTGCATCAGCTGGGTGGATCTGCCCAGATCCTTAAGCATCTCTCCTGGGCAGCTGCACGGCAAGGAGGCTGCTGGAGCAGGGATGCAGCCCCATGTGAGAGGTGGCAGCATCGCCGTGGGTGCTCTGCTCTTATCCTGGGCCAAATGCCACAGCTCTGGGCTCTGGTTTCCTGCTGGCCTCCCCGGGGGGATTACAGGGGGTGATCTGGGGCTTTGGGGAGTAGTGAGGGCGAAGGGGAGGGGGCAGGAGAGACTGGCTGTAAGGCTCTGTTCCCATGCTCAAACGGGTTTGTTTCTCCATCATCTCCTCGGAGCAGGAAGGATGGAGCCTGGCTGGTGGGGGGAGTTGGCTCCTTTCCTCCTCACCACATCTGCTGAGGCCAGGCTGGCCATGCCAGCGGGCAGGAGAGCCTGAACTCGCTCAGCTTTCGCTCTGTAAAATTCATTTCCACCTGAAAGCCCCATGTTGGCATCTACACGGGCCAGACCTGTGGAGGACAGAGCCGGAAGCTCTGTGCACGCTGTGTTAGCAGCACACAGCCTGGTGTGGCTGTGCCTCGCTTGGACCCCTGCTGTCCCTGCTTCTCCCCAGGGTCTGTCAGCCAAACAGCCTGAGAGAAGTCGGCAGAGCAGTGATCTAACGTGTCTGCAGCGCCGGCTCTGGCCTTGGAGCACCTTGTGCGGGTGAGATGCCAGAGCCTTCTCTGCAGCGCTGGTGCTGGCTGCCTGAGGGTGTCTGCCTTGATCAAGGGCGTTAGGATTTTTTGTATACCATCCTCTGGAGTGTGAGGCCACCATGTGGGGGCCAGTCACGGGGTTGAGGGACCCCTTGGCCCTGCTCTGGAGCAACCTCCCATCAGTTGGAGACCTACCTACATTTACTTGCAGGTGTGGACGTCGTAGACACGTATGCACTCCTGGCAGCTCACGTAGCAGCACCAGTGGAAGATGCAGTGGCACTTCTCCTTCCGTTTCTCAGTCCTGGTGTTGTGGCCACGACCACAGCACAGTAGGTCGCAGCCGTCAATCCCGTGGGAGGTGACGTTGCATGTTCTGTCCCTTGTCCCAAAGGAGCCTGTCTCTGGGTTGGGCTCACAAAAATTGGGGGAGTTCTCATAGTAGACCAGATCCCGCTCTGTTGGCGGTTTGAAAAGAGCATACTTGGCCCTAAGAGTTTCTACCCATCCCCGAGATTCTCGGTGCTTCTCAACCACCATCTCAGAGGCGCTGTCATATTTATCCTTCAGGTAGTCACCAATTGCCCGGAAATCAGGCTGGGCCCACCAGCAGGTCTTGACCTCGCAGCTTCCCGAGAGGCCGTGGCACTTGCACTTCAGGTGCATGTGATCCAGGATGGTCTGTCAGGGGGGAGAGAAGACAAGGCGGTCAGCAGCAATTTAGAATGCCCAGTGTTTGTTTTAAATCACCTGCCTTTGCTACCTGGATTTAAATGTCTGATCTGAGTTTGGTCTGGAGAGTGTAGGCTAGTTGTAAATGCACAGGAGCTTTGGTGCGTGGCAGAAACATCTCTAGACAGATGCTGCACTAGAAGAGCGTGACTGAGAGGGGCAGCTGCTCTAATCAGCTATCCAACTCAATCTAATCCAATTTAATCCAATGCAATCTAATCTAATCCCAAAATCTGATCCTCCCGATCGTGTGTGTGTGGACAATCAGAGCCCAGAGAAGTTGAGGGTTGGAGGATGCCTCTGATACATGTGGACATGTACTGATCCCCTTGTCCCAGCTTTGCTAACAACCCTTCATTTTATGCCCCAAGTCTGACAGTTTGCACTAGAAAGTAAATGAAATTGTGAATTCAAGGACATGGTGCTCTCACTTCCCCAGAAACCTCCTCTGTGTGGAGCAAAATAATCACAGATTTTTTTGTTAAAATTGCTAGAGTTTGTGGTGTTTATTTGTTTTTTTACAGGAAGCTGTCAGTTGTTAACACAAATTAGAGATTCAAGCTTCTACCCTGCTGTGGTATGGAAAAGCAATATCTATTGTTTGCTTCAGGCACTGTTTGAAAGGTCTTGCTGTAACAGGGTTAAAGCGTGCTGGGTTTGCAAATGACCTAGAGCAAGCAGTGGCCCAGGTACCTGCTGACAGCAAGAACAGGATAGAGTATTTCAGTTGGAAGGGACTGACAATAATCATCTAGTCCAACAAATCACTGGATGAGACAGCGTGACTACGGGGAGCGTGCAGAAAGGAGTAGTTTGGGAGGAAAGTCTTCACCATTGACCTGGGGGCTTGGGCGGTTGAGTTGGGTTTCTAGGTGCTTACCTTGGGGGGATGTTTGTGCTGGAAGCAAGGCATGTTTTAGCTCTTCTTAACATCCCCCCCCCCCCCCCAAATCTGGAGAGAGAGGAAATGCTGCGCCCTGGAGAAAGCCCCTGCCCAGGCACTGCTGTGGTCCCGCTGCACCAGGAGGAGCCAGGCTGGGCCATGCACGCAGGCACGGACGAGCCGCGCGGGGCCCGCTGAGCACTCACCGTCCTGCCAGCCTCGTTGTTGTGCCTGTTCATGGCTGAGCGGGCGTCTGGCCGGTTCTCTCGGGCATCTGCGAATTCCCGGGACACCAGCACGCCGAAGTCAGCATCCTCGCTGCATCCCCCCCATTTCCAGCCGTCTCCCGGCGGTCCTTTGTGGTGGGAGTCACAGCCGCAGATCGTGGACGTGCCCTCGGCGCAGGAGCGGGTTACAGCAAAGGCCACCCCTGCTGATGCGATGGCATGGACAAAGGCAGACTCTCGTGTGGCTGGGAAAAAACAGAGTCCATGGGATTATCAATCAACATAACACTTCTGTTTTCCTTCCCGACATCCTTCAGCATCATCTAAATCTCAATAAGAAGCAAAAAGTTGTTTTTTTTTTTTTTTTTTAACGAACATTTTTTGAATCAGGTGCTGCTGGCATCACCTTTTGAAGCATGCAGGCAGGAGTGGGTGGGAGAGAACTGTGACTCCAGCTCTGGGTATCACAAGTGCAGCATTTCCCCCAAATACAATGGGTGCAGGGTTTGACCCAGCCTGGGTGCCAGTGGGTGCACAAAATGTCAGTAAGAGCTTGAGGGGACTCAAAAGTGAGTTACTGGAGTAATCCCTGGTCTGGAAACCCAGACAGGGACTCCATGCCTGGAGTTAGCCCAAGGGGAGATGAAGCAGCTCATATATATGCTGAAATGGGGAAAGGTTTCAGGTGGTACAGGACAGACAGTGGCAGAACAAAGCCTAAGAGCTCATAATTACTGTTAAATGTATCTAGACTAACCAACATGTGACTTTACAGCAGTGGAATAAAAACAGCTGAAGGTGTGAAGATAACCCTGAAGTTGCTCATTAATTACTGAACAATCATGGAGGAACTCAAGGCAGAAACAAACCTCTCTGACTCTGTGACTATTGGCATGCTCCAAGTACAGAGTTGTAGTGAATGGATTTTGGCAGGCCCGAAGGAGCGAAGCTGGAGAAAGTCTTGAAAGCATTGAATGCTGAAGAAAGGGTGAAATAAATTGCCCAAGATGCCCAGGTGTACTGGGAGCCGGGAATGGGAGTGTGGGTGGATCCTGTGCTAAGAAAGAAAATGTTTCAGCAGAACAAAGATACCTGGGCAGGCGGTAGGGACGAATCAGAAAATCCATGTGAAGGTGAAGGTGCAAAGGGCTTGCTGAACCGGAGGGTGTCTGTCCATCACCTCTTCCACCCGTGACCATGGCAGGGAGACTTTCAAGCCCCTCCTTCCCTCGTCATTCTGTGGGGCCCTGACCGGGACTTTGGGCAGCAGCAGCCAAAACACACATTGGTCTGGGGAAGCCCCCAGAAGCCGTAAAGACGTTTACATTGGCTGGATGGCACAGCCAGCTGGGTCTGAGAAGGACGAGGCCAAGCGGGATGGGTGAGGACCCAGGCCAGGACCGCCTGCTTTGTGCCCGGGGCCTCCGAGCTCACCTCACGTGTCTGAACCCCGGGGCGCTGCTGTTCTTCATCACGAACCAAACCCTCTCCAGCAGCCCTGCACGCTGCAGTGCCCTCTGCTCGCCCGAGCGTCACGGCCCTTCCTTGCTCAGTGGCGGTTGCCACACGCACAAAGAACATCTGCCTCGGGGTGGGTTGTTCTGGATGGAGGTGACCACAGCCCGGGGTTGAGGTCCGCCCCTGGGGTGGCAGCGCGGGCGGCAGTTCTGAATTGCACACCCAAAGCAGCCGCAGGCTGAGACCACCACGACGGATCTTCTTGGCCTGCTACTACCAGAGGAAACTTCTGAGATGTCAGAAGCACTAAATAACAGCACTGTGAGAAGACCTAGACCTAGCTTTAGAGAGTGCAAAAGGAGATGACCTTGTCCACTTCATACGGTGGCATTTTCCTACCGTGAGGTCCGTGAGTTTAATGTCATGTTCTGGGGAGTCTCGCGCTCTGTCCGTAAGTGGATGATACACTGTAAAATTGACGGGGTGTTTCCTGCGTCATATATCTTGGTATGTTAAGTTTTCAGGAGGCTGCTGGAGAAGTTGTGACATGCTCTGAACTGAGCTGGTCTTTTCCCTGGTGCTCTGACTGATGGCTCTTCCACGGGTTTGAAAGCAGGACAATGGCTAACTTTGAATTTTCAATCCAGATTAAAGCCCAGCCAATTTATATCCTTTGTTCCTGTGCTCACACTGACTTTCATCTTTAAGTGGCTTTTAATGGCCCTTGTATTTACTTCCTGGTGCTTGCAGAGGGCAAAACTTCCATTTTACTGTGCACGAAGAGCCTTTCCATAAAATGCCCATTTTACACACAGCCTGGCTGCCCGTCTCTGCATCTGTTCCTGGTTTGGTGCCTCTCTCAGAAGGGTGAACAGAAGCAGACGCTCCCTGCCAGCTGACTGACTGGGGCTGAAGGAGAGCGAGTCTTAGCACAGCTCAGAACAGCTCAGAGATAGCGTCTGCGTTCGGACACAGACTGGCGAGTCCTCCGTGTGTTTCCCTGCTTAGCACACCGACAGAAACTTTGGTCCCTGGACGTGAGAGTCTGGGTTCTTGCAGTAGTGACCTGGCTGTTTGGCTACAGAGCTCTGCTCAGGATGCTTTTAAAGCGTTATTTTATTTTATTTTATTTTATTTTATTTTATTTTATTTTATTTTATTTTATTTTATTTTATTTTATTTTATTTTATTTTATTTTATTTGTTTATTTTATTTTATTTTATTATTTTATTTTGTTTATTTTATTTTATTTGATTATTTTATTTTATTTGTTTATTTTATTTTATTTTATTATTTTATTTTATTTTATTATTTATTTTATTTCATTTTATTTTCTTTTATTTTAAACAGACAGTGTTGTACTATTTCTCCTCATTTTGGAATCAACAGGAATTTGACTGTTGACTTCAGCATAGCTGTACTAAATACAGGCTTTCCTAAGTGCAGTCAGAATAATCTGTCTCACCTTTCTCCTTGGGAGCATCTTTTCGTTCAGAGACCCTCTGGTGTGCCACAGCCTGCATAAGTACATCACCCGGGTGAATGACACTGGAGTGCTTTAACCCTACGTGCCATCTGACAAAAATGGAGACTTTAGGCACCTAAATTCAGAGTAGATGTTGGAGTCGACCCCACCGCAGGCCCAGTGGGCAGGGGCCACGGGGGTGCTAAGGCAGGGGCCGGGCGGGGGCCGGGGGCGCTGCAGACGGTGTTTCCAGCCGCCTCGTGGGCGTAGCTTGACCGGTTGATCGGGACAAATGTCAGTGGATGTGGGACGGAGCCAGAATTTTCTGCTGGTTCGGACCAGCGATGACCTTGGAGACCATTCCCTCCTTCCAGAGCAGGAGCCATGAACTGTCCTCTCAGCTGCCCCATGCGTCCCTCACCCTCTCTTGCCGCCTGCCCTGGGAAGATCTTCACTGCACCAGGTCTCGCTCCTTGGCCCGCAGTCTTCTCTCCGGAGATGGGCTCTAGGTTCCAAAATCCGGGCATCTCAAACTGACCTGATTTCACCCCGTGCCGGCAATTGAAAGAGGCAGCCTGCGGGTACGTGCCAGCTGTGGAAACACACATCCCTCCTCTGCTGCAGCGTGGGGAACTCGGATCTAGATGCCAAATGTGATCCGAAACCAGGGCTGCTCAGTCCTGTCTTTGCTGGTGGGACTGCACTGTGATTTTCACTTGCTTTTAATTCAAACTGTTCCCTCTTTGCCCTTCCCACTTCCAGTGCACCAGCAGAGATCCAGCCTCTACCTACTGAGATTTTTCTTGGATATCTTTCACCAGCTGCTTGTACTGGGACCACTGGGGGCTGTGGGCCACCAGTTGAAGATCTCTGCTCTGACTGGAGTGTTTCAGCCTGACAAAGGCTATTTGGGTGGCCTATGATCTAAAGCAGATCAGATTAGAGGAGGTAGTGAGCCCTTCTGGCCTCAGACCAGGACAGCTCGGGGGCAGAGGGGGGAGGACACGAGCCACTCTCCTTGCTGACGCGCCTTCGCTTTCCACCCTGGAGGGGAGTGAAAAAGCAATGGGCACGGGCTGGAGAGTTGCTGCACGATTTGTGAGTCTGCAAGTCCCCGTACAGAGCGCGGATGCTGGGGTGGGAGCTGAGCCGGGGCTGGCGTGCCCGTGGCCGGGCAGAGGTGTGATGCAACCCCCCCGGGGGGGCTGCACCCCTCTGGCAGCTGCCCCCCAGCACCCCCTGCCACCCCGCGTCTGCCCGGCGAGCTCTCCGCACGATGCTGGGGTTGGGGGGGGGGAAGCGAGCTGCAAACACAAACGCCCCTCGCCTTGAAATTCTCCCCTGGGTCTGGGCGAGGAGCCGGGAGAATTTCCCAGAGATGAAATGCAGGAGCAGCGTTCCCAGAACCAGGGGAGGGGCTGGCGAGGGAGGATTAGAGCCGTCTTGACAGTGCACCACTGCGACTGTCTCCCAGCCAGGCCCGTTACCTGCTGGGACACTCAATTTGCCATTGTTCCCGTGGTGTCACACTGTATTACCAGCATAATGCAGAATGTTTCCGCCGGCCAGCGTACCCACGGCACAGAGCACTGGCATTCCCCAGGAGCACCTCGTAGCAACGGGGCAATGTTCCCCTGTCCTGCCGTCACCCTCCAATCCCGCCAGCCCGGCTGGGAAATCCCTATTGATGGCGCTCCCCAGCCCCCCGCCACCGGATCAGAATGGCTAAAGGGCGTGTGAATGCTGCAGCGATTTGAAACGACTGCAGCGCTGGGATGGTATCGCTCGCCCTGCCTCACAGTAGGGGAGGAAGCTTAGCTCTTTCTCATCGGTATAAGCTTATTTTTCTCTCTCCCTCTCTCCTTTCCCTCCCCCTCCCTTTAAGCTGTTGAGTTTATATCAAGACGGCCCCTGATCCCACACACCCCTGTTTAGATGCAAATGACTGCAAGTGTCATGGCTGAGAAAAGCCATGGGTTATCTTGGTGCGGGTCTGCCTTTTCACAGCTCGTGTCAGGGGCTTAGCCGAACACACAAGGACCCCCAAAGGCAGCCCGGGCCCAGCTGCCTTTCCTGCACCTGGCCCTGGCGCCGTCGCGCTGCTCGCAGCCGCGCACGGCCAGCCGCTGCCCTGGCCGGGGCTGACGAGGAGCTTTCTGGAGGACGGGTGGCACCTTCCTGGAGAAGGAGAGTGAGCGAAGGGCAGCCGCGGTGAGACGAGGCAGGGGGAGAGCGGTGATGCTCAAGATGTGGGGAGATGATTGAGCTTGCCAAACCCCCGCAGATCCAGTCCTGCCTGTGGCTCAGAGACCTCTCCTCTCTCCCAGAAGTCACTTTCCAGATGCCTGGGGGGCTCTCCTGCCTCGTGCACTCACAACCAGCTCTTTCTGGGCACTGCGCTTTGGCTAAAATCACGGACTTTATCACTAACACAGAGAATGGCAATTGCTCGCCCTCCCAGAGCAGCAGCAAGTCACCTGGCTGTTGGCTCAACCTTGGCTTTGGGGCAGAACCTGGCTGGAAGAGACATTGTCTTTTAATAAAAACTGACTTTATTTTAAAAAGAAAATGCAGGGAGAAGAGAGAGGGGGAAAGCAGGTTTTTCTTCCCTCCTTGTCCCAGACTGCACACCTGCAGTATAAATCATCTCAGGGAGTTTGCTTGTAAAAACATGATCTTACCCCACATTTGGGGGTTGTTTTTTGGTTTGGTTTGGTTTGGTTTTTTTCATCGCCCAGGTTAGAAGAAAGGCCATGCAAAAAATAAAACTTGCAGGAAGATAATCAGTGGCCCTGGGAAACTAAAGCCTTGCCAGCTATGGCTGCCACACATTTTATGGCAGAAACCTCATGAGTTTGAATTTTGAGGGGACGTGGGAGGAAATTGGGTCAGTCAAGGCAGAGCCTTAGCCGGGGTCAGTGTTCAGCAGCTTCCAAATGGGAGCACCCCAGTTCCCCCAGGGGTTTCACTGTGCTGTATTTGCTGTTTCTTGCTTTGCTGTGAATTTGAAGCCATGCAAGGGACTGCAGAAGGAGAAATCAGAGTGGTACGGTGAAGCTGGGAAGAGAAGTGAGATGGGGGGGTGGGGGGAGGCTGTGGGAAGAGCTGGGGGCAGGAGCCCCTTGAGCTATTTCAGGGCGAGACGCCCTGTGCTCCCACACTGACACCAGCACTTGGAGCCTGGAGGATGAGCCCAGAAGGAGCAACCACAAAAGTCTTGAACTCCTGTGCTGCGAGAGGGTCTGCGCAGCCAAACCGCCGCGAACGGCTCCACTGTTTTCCCACACTACATTGCTCTTCAGACTGAGCTCTCCTTGAATGGAAGCAACTGTGATTAACATTTTTTGCAGCTCCGTTAAAATGAAATTATCCTCAAATTCTTTTCAGGCTGTATTAGAAATGATTTTCCATGCTATTGTAGTGAGAACTACACCTTTGAAGTTTTTTCCAAAGTAGCTTCAATCTACCTAAGGGACTAGAGGATGAGATTAACCTAAACGTTGCTCTTTGATACTTAGAGGTGATTTCATCCAAGTAGTTGTCATAGCTTAAATACTGGCTATTTTGGGCTTAGTATTTAATGCCTGTTGACCTAACGCACAGTGCAAACTGCAATAGTGATTGTCATCTTGGAGTCTTGCAATTAATTAGTGACTCTTAGTTTGTGGGGTTGCACCTCTCTGTGTGTCCTGGAAGTCAACAATGAGGGAACACAGCAGTAGCTGCCACGGATGCTCGGGGCTCGGCCAGATGTGAAAAATGCAGCCAGCAATGACCACAAATCTCAGTACCAGGTTATGGGCTCAAACCTTTTGATTTCAGTTGTTGCTGCATCTAAGGAAGATGGGACAACAGCCTGGGAGGAGGCGATGCTATGAAGGCAACAGAAGTGTCCAGCAACCCTGTCCTCAGCCCCCTCGGCAGTGACGAGCAGTGTCGGTCCCCAGATTCATCACAGCTAGCGAGATCTATCAGGGTGGGACAAAAACCTGTTTATTGCCAACGTTATCTCTTCAGCTGAGAAACCAGTGGCTGGAAAGGTGGGGTTTTTCTCCGCGACAACTCATGCTGCAAATTTGGGGAATTGCAAAGGTTTTCCTAATGTTACTCATTGCTACATAGATGAAATGAGTCCCATCTTGTCTCTGTTCGTTAATTTTCAAGTCAGCAGTGAAAAGACGTTGGCACATTTAAAAAATGTAAATAATAACCACAATCAAATGAGTTGGACTTTGATGTATTGTTATTTGCAGATGATACTGTTTATTTTAACTGTGCTACTCACAGGTGACTGAGACACAAGGATAAATAAATTTTTCAAGCTAATTGCCTGGCAGTACTGTCCAGGAGACTATTGATGTGTCACAGTTTGATTGAGAAAGCTGTGTAACAAATGTGCTCAATAATTTTTCTCCATCTGTCAGAAGAGTTTCAGAGCTATGGATGATATTTTACTTTGTCAGCTTGGAGTGCATGGAAATGTTCAGGCATGTCCACACATGAGGTTTTGCTCTAGTTCCTGCAACCGAAAGAATCTTAAAATATTCTTCATAATTTCAAAGTTCAGTTTTCTTGTTATGGGGAGGATGGTTCATATCCAATTTTCAAGTGCTTTTGTACTGACAGAAACGGTGGTGAGAGATTTTCAGTGCCTGAATGCTATAGCAGTTCTTTCGTAATGTGTTTAAATTTTTTATTATAGCTTTTAATGATAGCTTTTAAGAAAATTAAAACTTTCTGATCTTATTAGTGCTGAAGTTTAGGACATTCTTTTATTAGACAGCAAGTTATAGTGTGGCATGCCTTGATGACGAGCTGTTTGATAGTAAATACAGCAGTTACTGCAAAATACATCCTGGCAAAACAGAGAGGAATTGAATCTCTTGATCCCTATTAGCACTCTAATATGACTTTACAGTCCTGCTTGCTGCAGAGAATCGCAGTTTAACTCAAATGAGTAATTTTCACTGAAATATGCTACTGATGTTTCAGGAAGCTGTACTATTATTGGATGGTTGAAGCTTTAAAAAAGTATCATGAACTGTTTATATGCAGAATATTACAGCTTTGTAAGAAAGATCCACCAGGAGATATGCAGACTCCATAAGATTATTGGGAAATGGTCTAATGTCCTACCTTTGCACCCTAATCTCTCCAGTTTCTTAAATGTTGTGCCATAAGATTCCCATTTCCAAAGCATCACTGGGAAGAATAATTTATTTTCCATAAACAGGCTTCACTGGACTGCAGAAACTCAGTGCACGTTGATACCAATGAAGCCAAGCTTCAGAAATGGTTTTGGTTCATTTGTGAAGCTGTGAAACCAAAACGTTATCTGTGGACGTCCCTTGTGCTAAACTCAGCATTGAGTCAACAAAATCTGTGGGATGGGATGGAGAGAAGGGGATTTTTTTATCCACCTTTCATGGGCATGCTTTTTAATCTAAGGTTTTGGTTTGCTAACTGGACATCTAAGATGTGGGATAGGTTATCTGTCACCAGAGCCCTCCAGCACCCTCCTTTCAGGCCGTATTTGGCTTCAGGCAAGTGGTGCAGGTCTCCAGCTGTTTTGGGGCCCAACATCTCACTTCTCGGTGTAACGCCCAGGCTGTGACCTCATTGGGAATCCCAACTTTATTGTGCCTTAGCAACGTGCTTCCAGCATGCCTGATCTGTGCAACTGGGTCTAGAAAGCTGGCCTTTCAGGAGGAGGTGATGAAGAGGAGCAAGCACGTGCGTTTGGAGCATGTATATACATTTATTTTCCCTCTTTTTGTTCCCAGCCCTGACTGTTTGGGGCTCATCTGTGAAAAGATATGTTGAAATCCCAACTAAGCCTCATCAGGACCATGGATTTCAACCCTGGCTTCTCACTGGTGGGGAAACTTCTGTGCACTGACCTCCTAGGGGGAGACGGTGCATGTTTCAGAGGGCCTGCCTTGACCCCAAGAAACTTGACCCCAGTGCCTCTCCTTGGCTTTTCCCCTGTGCCTGCTGGACCCTGTTGTTTGGAAGTGCTGCATGCCCTGGGCAGGGAGGATGGAGCCCACAATTCCAGAACATCTGAGCATGCATGGGGCTAGACCTTCCCCTTCCTCCTTTATCCTACCTGGCTCTACTGAGAGCTCCTGGGATGGGAACAGACCCTTCCCTCATTACCCTTTTCGATATAACACACCAAAAAAATTGGAAAAAAGAGATTGAAGAAATTAGGGTTGAAAGCTAGGACATCAGGCTCCTTCCTCGATGTGTTCCCAGTAGGAGATTCGTGGCATGTTCAAAAGCCAAGTGGAGATGTGACAGCTCTTCCCACCCTGGCAAACCCATTCCTCCACAACCCCCCAGCTTTGCTGTTTACCTTTGTCCAGGACTGGCCCGAAGATGGCCAGGCTGTCGTCGATGGTGGTGCAGTTCCAGCGGCGGCCCCGGAACTGGTGCTGGCATTCCTGGATGCCCAGCTTCACCCCCTCGGCCACACTGGGCATGATCTCAATGTAGTTGCGGCAGAAGCGGAGCTGCTTGGGGACGAGGCCGGGGATGGAGCCGCAGAGGATGGGCTGGGACCCCAGGGAGCTGTACTGCTGACCTAGTGCAAGGGACCTGCAAGGGACAGAGGACAGTGTGAGGGCTGGAAAACCAGATGGCACTAATGGTCCTGCCCCTACCACCATCCCCGGGGGGAATTTGATGAGCCCAGGTGAACCAATAGTTCAAGGAGACAAAGTACTGAAATACAGGGATCTCCTAAGAAAAAAAGAGGCTTCTTACTGAATAGGACTGATGTGAAAGGGGCTTTCACACCTGAAGACACCCTGGTCTTTTGTGGGTGCAGAGGCAGGGACTCAGCTCTCGACATGGAGGCACCTAGAGCCATTCAGTGTTCTCCCAAGTATCTGAGATGTCCCCATGGGGCTGGTGGATCTGACAAAGGACCTGCAAGGAGCTGTATCTGCAGGAGCAACACCTGGAGTGTGGGTAATACCCTGGGGTGTCTCAGCTGTCAGGGGACACTGATGGGAGAGCTTCTGAATCGTGGCCAAAGTGAGAAGTGTCCTGTCCAATACCCGGTTCATCAGCAGAGGGATCACTATTTACTGGAGAGGGGCTGCTCTGGGGTCAGGCATGTCAATGCCACATGTCCCGGGCTGTCTTACACCTGTGCAGCTGGGCCCAGCAGAGGCTGAGCCACCACGGTTCCACTCAGGTGGACATCAGGCTCTAGCTGCAGCTGTGAGTCGGGCAGAGGTGCTGACACATGGTGAAGGAGCTGGAGGGCAGATTTGAGATGACCTTTTCCTAATGGCCCAAGAACCTGCCAATTTCCCAGCATTAAATATGTGGGTCAAACTGTGTATTTGGCCAGAAGTTCTTGCTGAAGGATGAAGACACATATTTGCTTAAAGAAGCACCGAGATACTACCTGCTATTACACACAAACAAGGACAGTTGTACAGCTACTGCCTTGCTTAGGATCCAGACCACCCTGTGGTGTCCCTCCAGAACATGTGGTCAAACCTGTGAATGAGCAGCTGGATCTGTAACAGAGTGGATGTGGTGAACTCAATTGCTTCCAGTGCAGAAACCTCACAGTCCAGACACTAGCACAGGCAAATATTAAAGAGCTTTGATTTAGTATGTCTCTATTTCTCTTGTACCGGGGAGTCCACAGTTGGACACAGGACTTAAGATGAGGTCTCACCAGTGCTAAGTAGAAGTGAAGGATCTCCTCTCTCCACCTGTTGGCAATCCTTTTCCTTGTGCAGCCCCAATGGCTTGCTTTGCTGCTTCATGTTGAAACTTTTGTCCACCAGCACCCTCAGGTCTTTCTCTGTGTGCTGCTTTGTAGTTGGTGAGCTCCCAGCCTTTATAGGTGCATGGAGTTGTTTCTCCCCAGGTTATTCCTCCCCAGGTCCCTTGGTTGAATTGCATGACATTCCTGTCTGCTGATTGTCCAGCCTTTAGAAGTTCCTTCAAGTGACAGCTCAACCATCTGGGGTATCAACCACTTCTATGAGTTTTGTTGTGTTTTTTCCTCATCCACCTGCCCACATCTGAAGATTGTGTCTGAGCTAATCAAGTACTTTGTAGTCCTTAGTTAACTCAGGCTGGGAGAGACCTCAGAAGGTCTTTAGTCCAAACTCCTGCTCAGAGCAGGGCCAGTTTCCGAGTTAGATTAGGTTTTGCAGGGCTTTGTCCTTCTGCAATTTGAAAACCTCCAAGGACAGAGATGCCACCGCTTTTTGAGACCTGTGGTTGACCGTCCTTGTCCTGAACTGCTCATCCAGCCTGGAGTCTCGGGCTGGATGCTGAGCTGACACAAATTGGTTGAATTAATTGCACACTGATAATTTCAGGATGTAAAGGGAATCCAGGGGAACCTGCTTAGGAGAGATGTCTCTGCTGAAGACACTGAAGGAGAAGACCTGTCTCCCACCCTGTCTGGGCAGCACATGCCTCTAATCCCTGTCCCAGTGCTGTCTTCTGCCACCGCCCCCTGATTTCTGCCACAGCTCCTTTGTACTTCCAGCTCCCACCAAGTGCAATCTGGTGGGTGGGAGCTCATCACTGATGGGAAGACTGGTCAGCTCCAAGCAACAGTTGTGAACAACTGTAAGTTCATTCTCCACCCAGTGAGGCCGGTAATGTGGTGAACAGGCAGGAGAACACGTCGTGTTTCTCCAGCCACCCACTCTCGCAGGCTCCAGTCTCAGGGAGGTGGCACGCTGCGAGATGCTTTCTCCTGCCTGGGTTTGCACGGTGGTAGAAGTGAAGTTCATACCCAGTGTCAGAGTTTACAAGGACGTGTCTGCAGCAGCAGTTTCTTGCAGCAGGGATGGTGAAGGGTTGGCCTGGTGTGCTGGCTGTGAGCTGCACACTATGTCACGTGCTCAGGTTAATTCTGCTGTAGCTCACTGGTGTAGAACCTGGCTCAATTTTTTTATCCGGATGAGCAGTTCAATCCCTCAGGGAACCTGCAAAAAGAAGCAGTGGCCTCAAGGCAGTAAGAGCTGGGACTTCCCACAAAATTCTGGGGAACTCCTGGGAGGACCCGTCTCCCATTCACAGATTTGGTCAGATCCCTTCTTTAAACTCCTGAGCCATCTCATGATGGACTTCCCACCTGGAAAGCCTGACTGAAGACGTGAGGTCGGTTTTGATCTGTCTGTTTTGAGGTTGGAGTTGTGATCTGTTGTGTGGGGGAGGCCCCTGGGGAGGCTGGAGGCTGCTCCCGGTTGCAGGTGGTCACGCACTGAGCTGGTGAAATTGCTTACCCACATATAGGAATTCATCTGCTTCTGGAGACCTGTTCCAAGCTTTCCCACCTTTTCCTTTCCTTCCTCTTTTGCAAGGTCTCCATCATTCCTAAGTGCCTGCTTTTAATTTTCCTTATTGATGGTTATTGACAACGTTCTCTGCAGTCATCACCTAATTTTAATTTTTGTTCTTATGTCAATAAACTTGTGATTTCCCCACTGCTGATCCTTCTTAGACAAATATAAAAAATCTCATTCCTCTTGGCCCATCATCCTCATCTCCACAGAAGTCCTGGGAAGGCACACGGGAACAGGTGCTCTGGCTAATGTGCTGCAGATCTGCTCTGACCTCCTGGGTCCCATGGACCGACCATTTCTCTATATAGTGCCTGAGATGTGAAGACAAAACAAAACCTATTTGAAATCCAGATCTGAGATCCCAGGGGCACATCTTAGCTCTTTGTGGCTGTAACACAGAAATCACAAGAGCTTGTGGGGAGGATGCAAATACCTTAGGAGAGGAAGTATCACAGGGTGAATTTGGGATAGATGGAGGACACAGACAACTTTTAAAGCACAAATCACAACTCCAGGCCTGGAAACTTCAGGAGCGACAGACCCCACACTTCCCTTTCTTTCAATGCCAGCATCCTTCCTTGCTGCTGGAGGCTATGTTTCTCTAGCTCCCATCGTGTCAAAGGGAAATAGCCGTTTCATACCCCTGCTTCACTGCCCCCAGTTTTACCCACTGAAGGTGACAGACGCATTTTCCCAGCATTTGAACGCTCAAGGGCAGGAGCCATAAAAGCCAGACAGCTCTGCTTGGCTGGGAGACTCCCTTTCATTGCTGCATGTACAAGTGTGAGCGGATAGATGTGCACATAAAGGTAGGCTTTTGTGTGTGTGCGTGCGAGTGCAGTGCCCAACACAAGGAGCATGAGTGCCTATGGCAAACGCATGGGAAATCCCTTTTCTCTTTCTCTGCTTAATCCCTTAAGTCTCTCAGGAGTCCCGACACTGTCTGTCAGGCCAGTGACTCCTTTTGTTCCCATCCGATAGTGCTAGACAGCAGAGCCGTGGATCCAGCAGTCTCGAGTTGACTCTTCATGGTTCCCATTGGTCTGGGACAAGCTTTTGAAGCCCTGGGAGTAAATGGTCTTGTGCAGATCCTCTTTCTGTAATACCGGCGGGTCCATCCTTGCATCCTTGAAGAGGTGACTCATGTCTTCACATTGCCTCAGTGCGGAAGATCCTGTGCCCACCCTCTCAACTCCCTCCTTCCTACAGAGATGGCCAGCAAACTCATCTTCTGTTTGGGCCACTGGTTGGAAAGACACACTGTATCAAGAGAAATTAGACCTAGTAGTATTTGAAAGTAGCAGGATTTGGCCAAATTAGAACCGTGTCAAAACAAATGAAAAGGATCTTTTAGGATGAACGCTAAGAAAGGTTTCCTGCCAGTGAGAGAAAATGCTGCCAGGACATTTTTTCTTTCCTATCTGCAGGAGACTGGGAGCTGCACTGCTCAGAGCACTCAGGACTGTGCTGCGCAGTGCACCACAGACCGACCATCTGAGCTGGGTTTTACCAGCCAGAGACAAACCTTGGTGAGCTGCTCCTCCCGTAAAGCTCAGCAACTGAAAACCTCACTGTGGGTGATGCCATGCTTGGCTGCTGTCTGGCATAAAAGCAGCTTCTTGGAAGGAAGTTTGTCCATCCCCTGCTGTGTGTGCAGGACAAGGTGAGGGCTGACCCAAAAGGTTTGCTCACATGTGTTTCACATTCCAATTTCATGATTAAAAAAAAAGGAAAGTGAAGTGCCAGGAGTGGACCAGTGTCCTGGGAAACAATCTGGTGTGGTCACCCCTTTTTCTTTCTTCTGCAATCCAATAAACCTGTTGCCAGCCTTAATGAGTCCTGGGAGCCCAGCTGGATAGACAGGAACCTCTTTTTTCCTGTCTCAGCCCTGGAAAGTATTGACATTTGTGTGAAGAGTACACTACAACCTCCAATGAGCTCCAAAGTGGGGCAGCAGCTGTGCTTGCTGTGACTGCCTGAGGTCAGTGTTGCAGCTTTTTGCTTGAAATTCAGGGAGAACATTTCGGGGATGTGCTGCTAAGGGAGTGTTTTCTAGCTCTAAACTCAGCAGCTGAAAGCAGATGAATCTGAAGAGCAATTTTTCTTTTTTTCCCACTATATCGAGGACACCACTAGCCCTGTGGCCGGCCGGGCAGGAAATCTCTGGGCTGTAGAGCTGCACATCTCCAAGGGTGCATCTTCTACCATGGAGCTGGACACCCCCTGCATTGCAACTCTTCCTTGCCTCTCCTGAGGGATCTCCCATGT